AACAATCTTCCCATACGTTTATACTGTATGTGCATTTCATGTTTTTTAGGTATGTTATTTACCTGTAAAAGCCTTCCTTGTATAGGAATCTAAAAGACCTGAGACAGCTGTAGGGCAGCAGACTCAATTGACACTCTGTAGAAGGGGAACTGAAGATCAAGGAGGTTGGGTCAGTAAAATCTTCTTCCTGCAGAGGTCCGACTCTAATGTTTGTGCTATTACTCAGATCCTAGTATATTTGCAGTGATTGTAGGTCAGGAACCAGTATTCAGAGTATCTCTTTAAATCACGTGTCCCCATCAGAGTATCCCCTTGCATCAGAGTGTACCTTTTTTTCGGTGTCCCATCAGAGTGTGCCCCCTTACATCAGTTGTCCCCATCAGATTGCCCCCTTACATCAGGTGTCCCCATCAGATTGCCCCCTTACATCAGGTGTCCCCATCAGATTGCCCCCTTACATCAGGTGTCCCCATCAGAGTGACCTCTTATGTCATTGTCATTGAATGGCAATGTGTCATTAAATGGACTATTGCTTTACTACTATTATGGTGTGCTGGTGACATTATTTCTTCATTTGTGTTGTTCACGGTGCCGTCCGTGGTCACTACAAGCACCCACCCGTTTACACGGGTATCGTGGATATTCCAGTAAGCAGTGCAGCAAGACCTCTGGTTCTGACTCTTATATCAGGTGTCCCCATCAGAGTGCCCCCTTACATCAGGTGTCCCCATCAGAGACCATAGCCAACTGGGTTAGGTTTGAAGATGTTGGGATGGATTTTAGTCCTGTACAGAGATCCTACTGCTCAGGTCTGTATTATTGGGATGCTTAGTGAGTCCCCTACAAAATTTTCTTAGGGTGCGAGTGGGGGACAGAGATCATAGGTATGCAGCATACGCTGATGACCTTTTGTTCTTGATTCATTAGCCATGCATCACCATCCCAAATATCTTGTCTTCCCCTGTGGCATATGGAGAGATTCCTCTTTTTAAAATAAACCTGCCAAAATCTGAACTTTTTCACATTAATTTGCCAGCCAGGGAGGTGAATGTGTTGCAACCTTATTTCCCTTTCTCCTGGAACCCTTATAACTTGAAATATTTAGGTATCTACCTCACTCCCAATTTATAGATCTTTTTCATAGTAACTAGATGCCACTGGTAAATGTGCGCAAATTTATATAATTTAAAAAAAAATGTGCTACTAAGATTCCTTTTTCTGTTTCAGGTGTTACCTGTCAGGGTTCTCCCTAACTTTATTAAACTTTTACACTACTTGATCTCTTGTTTAAAGTGGAGTTGGAGGAGGACAAAAGCCTCCCGTGGTACCTTGACTAGAGCTAAAATATCTGGTGGACTGGCATTACCTGACTGTAAACGTTATTATCAAGCAGCATGCTTAGTTAGATTACTTGATTGGAAATATAAGAATTTCAAGACATTTTGGGTCCATTTGGAGTCTGAGCTATGTAATATAGACCTGAGCATTGCATGTTGGTTGCCCAAACAGTATTGATTTCTACCCAGTAATGCACACCCCCTAATAGTGACAACCCTGACTATATGTTACGCTCTCCATACGATATATGAATGACACTATAATTCAGCACTTGCCCTCTAAGGCCACAATTCCTTTTTGCCAGGTATTTTGGATCCTTAGTGTGGTCTTCAGATGACATGCTCCTATTGCACCATGAAGTTGATCATGACTCTATGAAGTCTTTGCTGACTTTATATGGATCTTGTACTCCGTCTCCTATGGAATTATTTAACACACCAGAAGTTATTAATAGGCTTTATTAAAACTGGCAATAAGCCTTGCAGAAAAGAGGTGGTCAACAGGATTGACAATACTCAAATACAATGGTTCAATCAAAGCAATAAACACAATGGCACAGATAAATGAATCATTTTTTGGCATTCGTGCTCCTTATTCTCCAGTGGAGGGCCGTTCCAAAATGCACTGGGCTAGTGAAGAATCCCCCCCAAAAAATAACGGCAATTAACACAGCACAAATGAGAGGAATATGTCTAGATTCAAGGGCCTAACTGCTATCTTTAGGCTCTAGCTAACCACAGGCCAGGTGGGTGATCTAAACATAGTCTGCCGGCGTTGGGGCCCTATAAACTCTACGATGGAACACTAAAATAATGTATTTGTAATCCACAGGGGCAAAAGGGTTTCTTCACAAAGTGTCCCAAAGTAGCAAGTAAAAGATGGTGATCTCCATTATATGAACTCTGCCACATGCAGTATCACCCCTAGTGGAAGTTTGGTGGGTAAAGGGTTAACTGCGGAGTTAACCAACCCTGGTGACGATCGCTCTCAGTCTGCTGGCCTGAAATTGTGTCCTGCGAGCTGGGAAATCTCTGTGCAGGGTGATGCTGAGAGTGGTATCGCCATGTCCTTGTGATGCTCACGCTCCATTCAGACTTGTGTATAGTCACGTGGAATTGACGTACGTTGGATCCCACCGCTGCCACCAATATGTGACGTATGCACGCCCAAAACCCGCTGTACGTCAATTCCATGTGACCATACACAAGTTTGAACCGAGCGTGAGCGTCACAAGGACATGGCGATACTCTCAAAACACTTAAACAATGCCTGTGATACCACTGTCCTCTCAGACAGGAATATGACAGGATTCACTATACAGTAGCACTCTTCAAAGAGCAAGGATACTTTAAGTTCGTATTTAGAGCGTAGAGATAAGATTAACGATTTTTTATATCGTCCTTTAATAAATGAAACGGTGCAGAAAATATACAGAAAAAGATTTAATAAAAAGAGACAACATATATATACAACAGCAAAATAAAAGAAGAATACTCAACAGTCCTGGAATTGTGAGTTCTGACAGAGTTCAGAGTTCAAGAAGCAAATTGGAAGTCTGCAGGGCTCTTCTACAAGCAGACTTCCAGCAGATAATGTCCAAAGATTAAAAGGGAACTCTTCTGCGATGTTACGACTTCTAGTTCCTCGATGATGTTAAAACCAAGAGCCACTCTAGTTGCCAACACAGCATATTTTATAAGCCCCTCTTGGAGGGTGTCCCGGAGCCAGCCCCTAGGCAGGGTTGGGGCGGGAAAGCAGGCGGAGGATGAACCTTTAGTTTACCTATCCCCGCCCAATTCCAAATTAATAAAATGTAACTTGATTTTCCAACTCAGGTTTTATGACTTTTAGAGAGAATGCGAGGGGCACCGGGGTCACCGCATCTCCTGGACCTGCTTTGTTGATATAAATTGTCCACTCGTAATATATGGAGGGCCTAGTGCCATGCCTTTAATTACGATAGCCCTAAAAGGCTTACAGAGATATTTCGGAATTTCACACGGACTGAGGGCAATAAAAGATCACAGCCAGAGAGCATCTCTTCTGTGGAATGTGGAGGGACCTGCAGGCGCTCTGAACTGGGCACAAGATAATTCTGAGTCTTATAATATTAAGACTCGGAACCCCTTATCATCACACCCCTAACAGGGGTATCTTAAATATCTTCAAGAATATCTCAAGCAGGGAGGCCAACTACTCCGCAGTCTGACGAATGTCCATATGGATGCAGTCTGGTTTAGGATGGCTGTTCCTTCAGAGAGGATGAAGCTGGATGGAGAGTAAGAATGTGCTGTCCCAGATGGCCTCTGCAATGCGGGATGCAGACTGTTTGTGTCCAGGGTTGTGCATCTGTACCTGTATGGATGTAAAAGTTCTGGTTGGTGTCCTCTCATTGAGTTGTACAGGCAGCTTCATGCAACAACTGTTACTCCCAGGCAGTGTTAATTTTGACACCAAATTGAATTTTCGTCTTAATTAATTTAGTCGAAAATTAATTTGTATTTTTAGTCATCGGATTCATTTTTATTTTGGTCTAGTTTTAGTCGCCAAAAATGAAAGTCGATTTTAGTCTACTAAAATCTAATCGGTTTATTGGTTGTTCACATCTCCCTACTACAGAAAGTGCTCGGCGAACCAAAAGCCAAATGCACTAGTCTGGGAACAAATTTTTGTCTTGTTCCCAGACTTTTCGTTTGGTTTTCGTTCGTTGACAAAAATTCGTCACATTTTCGTCATCGTTAACTGCTCTAGTATTTTGTTTTCGTCACGGAAAAACACAGAAATGACGGGGAAAAATATGAAAATTTTAGGTCGACGAAATTAACACTGCTCCCACCCAGGTTTCTGCATGGAGGTGCACACTTAGGGGTTAATATTAGGGATTACAGTTATGGATGACCGAGATGTGAAAGAATGAGAAACAAGAAAAAGGTCTTCTGGCAGCTTTTATTATCTGTGTGTGAGACGTTCTGATAGAAATCAGAAAGGAAGTCTGAGTCTCCTTTTATATACACTTTCCAGCAGACAATATCTAATTAGTAAAATGGATTACATACATCAAAACATTTTCTATCATCTCTGATCACTCTCCCAATTATCACGAACAGATGCGCAGAGTAGGTGCATTTTAATCAAGGACAGATATTCATGAGCTACGCAAATCTTGTAACAGCTTGTTAGCATTTTAAAACATATCTCATTGAATTTGACATCTGCGTTAGTATCAGACAGCGTGACCTTCTGAACCTTTCTTAACAAGAATATATACAGGGTTATTCACAAAGGGTGAAGAGTTTGGAGAAGGCAGGAGAAGTGAACAATCTAGGACAACATAGCCAAACCGGAAAGTGAGCTGAATTGGAGAATTATTCCAAATCAGCGATGTTGCCCTAGCTTGCTCACTTCTCCCGCCTTCTCCAAACTCTGCACACTTTTGTGAATAACCCTGCTAGTGATTTTGTTTGTTTTTTATGTATGGTCAGGACTTAACAATAAAATGCAAGAAATATTTTTAGCATTTTTTTATAGTAGGGTCATTTTCAGTCAGCAGGTGGAGCTCTACACTAGTTTCCCTTGTTAACTTTAGCTGCTTTGCTGAAAAAAGAACATGTTTACATAGCTCAATATCTCTAGTTTATTTTCATTCAAATTTTGTTTTTCAGGCCGGTAGTGACGGTGAAAGTATCGGCAACTGTCCATTTTCTCAACGCTTGTTTATGATCCTGTGGCTAAAGGGCGTCATTTTTAATGTCACCACAGTGGATCTGAAGCGGTAAGCAGGACTACATTTGTGTGTTTGTGTAATGAAGTATAATTCACCTGTTGTAAATCTAATTTGTCTCTAGATATACTGAATGAACTGCAGCTAACAGGGCATTAAAATATCAATTCGCTCTGCCCCTGACATTCAGAGAAGAGAAGGATAGAGAACCGTACCTCCAGGGGCCATGTCTGTCCTATCCACATGCAGCATATGGTTGGTCACAGCCTTTTTGGCATTCGTTGGGTATGCATTTGAGCCTGCACATGGTTGGTTGAGGGCATGTGTGTGTTTGACATGCATCACCTAGCATAGGGATGTGCACACATGGTAAGCAAGGTATTTAAACATTCTGTCTCCTCATTGTAGCCTCCCTGTTCTTGCTATCCCCTGGTGGGACAATCCTGGGGGAGGTGACCGAGTGGCATTTTGCAACAAAGTAGCCTGGTGGCCACTAGAATTACTGGCCCAATTTTTCTTGTGGGATGCATTGGTAAAGACCATGGAGCCATTTAGACCCTGTGCCTTGGGTGAGACTGGGTGGGGCAAAAGAGGGAGAGAATGATGAAAGTGGGGGGTGAAGAGGGAGAATAGGAAAGAAGAGGGCATTGCTTTTGATGATTGTAACATTTAACATATAGTGCCTCTCTGGAAGGGGGGCAGTAACTAAGAACAGCAATAATAAATGACTAATTTATACACGTATGCTCTATATGAAGGAAACCAACAGACTTACAGAACTTGGCTCCGGGAACGAACCCTCCTTTTATGACGTTTGATGGGGAAGTGAAAACTGATGTGAATAAAATCGAGGAGTTTCTGGAAGAGAAACTGACAGTACCAAGGTAAATACTAATGGGCATCATGAAAATTACCGAGATCATCATAAAGTGTGCCAACACAGCAGTGAACAATCTAGGACAACATAGCTGAACTGGAAAATGAGCTAAATTGGATAATTTTTTCCAAATCAGCTATGTTGTCCTAGATTGCTCACTTCTCCTGCCTTCTCCAAACCCTTCACCCTTTTGTGAATAACCCTGTTGGAGTTGGCTTCCATATATGAGTTATGTCTTGAATAGCCGAAGAATCTTCCAGGAGTGTTGGAATGCTTGGTTCCCTCCTGTACACTGTGATGCCCCCTGCCAGCTGCTTTATCACTACAGTACACAGTAGTGAAGTAGGGGCGACCAGGTGGAACCACAGCGTGCATTGGGGGACCAGGCATTTAATACATCCAAAAGGATATTATATTCTGGAGATTATTCCACCATGGTAGCTCTTCAAAAGAGAGCAAAGCTCATAGGCACTGGTGGCTGGACAAGTAAGTATTAGCTGTTTTCTTCTGATTTTTTTTTTTTTATGACTGAGTTGCTTTAAGGATGAAAGGGCTACCTCCGGGTGAGTCCGCTCTCAGATTGTACATTGCTATATATGTCCCATAGTTGGGTACTCAGTATAGTGTTTGACCACACTTGTCAAGGGTACCTTGATGCGGCAGTGTGACTTCCACGTCTATTTGCAAATATTTGCAACAAAAACCTCTGTTTTTATCCTGAGTAGTTGAAACAGTTTAGTTAGTTCTTTTTTTGCTTGCTAGCTTGAAAGTGTGCCGGAGACCTTTTGTATTGTAGAGTTGCTTTAATTTCATATTTCTCATATATCTCATTTAATGGGTTTGGGGTGGGTGATTGTTAACCATCTACCTACACCCTGCTGTAACATGTACTATGCTTGCTGTCAGTAGATGGCCGAGGAGGTATATAGGTGGAGTGTTTGCTGCTATAGTCCCTCCACACCTATCAGAGGTATGGTGAGAACTGGATGACATCAGTAGTGACACTCAAGTGAAAAGACTTCTGGCTGCACTGTTAGCAGCTAGGAGCCAGTCTCTTTATGAATGAAGATCCTGGCTAACATTAGGGAGGAGCCCAACATGGACTGGAAATGTCCACAGCAGTGGGTCCCCGTTTCTTAGTTCCTTTGTCCGAAACTCTGAGTCGTAACATAGGACATCTGGACAATGTTCTGACACTGTTGGGTAAGAGCAGTGCAAGGTGTGACTTCATAAAAAATCAAATAAGAACCAAGGAGTGAAAAACGAAGATACTAGAGGAACAAACAGAGGTGAGGAGCAGTATGAAGGTGGACAATACAAGGTGATGGTGTAGTAAAAGTAAGGAATAGACAACAATGAGGAACAGAGCCAGTGAGAGAAATGAGAAACGTGCCACAACATAAAGCCATATCCACTTTTAGATCAAGTAAAGTAGATTTATGGTGACCACATACAGAGCACAAACATAGACAGCTGTATATGGCTACCAACAGAGCATTCTAGAGCCTCTCTGGTAAAACTTCCCCCGGTATTTGTTACCTCCAGGTTTTTATGTTGGCCACACACACTGGTCTACCAACAGATCACTTGAAAACACCCCTGGTAAAACTAGGCCCGTAAATGCGTTTCCTCCAGCTTTTGAACCAGTATCTAGCCTGGTATTTTTCAGTATTTTTAATCAACAGGTTAGGTGATCTGATGGTCAATGCATCTTAAATGGGACTTTCTGATATTTTTGGTTTTCACCTCCTTTTTGACCAGTTAAGTAATTTCACCTCCATGCTGGTCACTTCCACACGTGTGTTAAAAATGTATACTGTATATAGTTTTCCTTCAATAGTGACTGTACAGCACAGTTTATATATCTCTTGTTTTGCTTGTCTATAAAGGTATTCCAAGCTTGCCCCAAAACACCCGGAATCCAATTCAGCAGGAAACGACGTGTTTGCAAAGTTCTCAGCCTACATCAAAAACCCCAGGAAGGACTTAAATGAAAGTAAGCATGAAAATGTATATCAGTATGCAGACATCTCAACTCTTAGATATTGGCTCCCGGACACGGACATTTTCTTCCTGAAAGGTTTACTCTGCTGGATCTAGAAGAGTAAACCTTTCTGTGCTATCTGGTTTTTTTTTCTGACATCGGGGCCACCGTTAGTCAGAAAGAAGAAAAAAAATCGGCATAGGAACTAATTGCTAGATAGCTATTGGCTATTTCAATTTACAATAGCCAATAGCAGACTAGCTATTGCACCCGCCCACTGCAGCTGTCAATCGGCAGCGGTGGACCTGAGGTTCTCCATCAGGTCCACCTCTGCTGACTAACAGCAGCAGTGGGCAGGTGCAATAGCCAGCTTGCTATTGCAAATTGAAACAGCCAATAGCAATCTAGCTATAAGTTCGTATGCCAGGTTGTTTGTTTTTTTTTGTCCTAAAGCTGTCGGAGCACTAAAAAAAACAGCAGATAGCAGCATCAGCTTCTTTGCTATCTGCCATCATTTCAGGGGGATGCTCTCTTCCTTATTGTTGCACACCCCCCTGTGGAGAAGGGGGGGAGGGGGAGTTGACAGAGGGCACCTCCCTGAAATGAGTAGGGCACCTCCCTGAAATGACTTATTTTGGGTTGGGATCCCTGAGTATGCAACAAAGAGAAATTCAAACCCAAATCCCAAAACTAAAAATTTAATTTAAAGCATCTTACTGGTCCTAGGATGTGGTGGCTGCATTAGTATTTTTGTCAGTCCTTTTTTTTCCCCTTCATTTTCACCTTGTGATTCTGCCAATAACACGCCTCCTTTCCCGTTGCGGCTAAGCTCTCTCCTCCACTGTTACTATGGAAGAAGCCATGGTTCTCACCCAGGCTAGACTTCAAACATGTCATCTCCAGTACATGGATGGGGGGCAGGGGAGAGTTCGGTGTAATGGGATTAGAAGTTTACAAAACAAAGATAAGAATGGTTTGCTTTCAGTTCAGCTCACAGGAAGCGGCAAGGACACGGCATGTCTGTACTTGCTGAAAATATTCTTAGCCTGAAAAATAAAAGGTAATGCAACCATGACATGTAAGGACTGCTAAGCAGAAATATATAAAAATATTTAGTTTTTGGGTTTAGCCACCCTGGACCTTTACCCATATCTTTTAAAATAACAACAAACACACCTTTAGAAATGTTTAGTAATGACAATCTACTAACACATACTTCTAGATAATTTCCGGCTTTGTATTCTTTGCATACCTTGTTTCTCTTTTTTCTTCCCCATTCTTCTGACAATGGCCATGTTAACCAGGGGCAGATTACTAGCTCTCCTTTTACGTCCTGATTTTTAGGCACATGTGACTAGCGGTAATGCTAGTGGGGCAGCTGATTGCTAAAATCCCTAGACAGGCTTAACGATGACCCGGGTATTTTCAGCTGCTCCTTCGGGGGTGAGCGCTACACTAGGTAACAATTAATAGACAAGTTATGCTGTATTAGTTCCTGGTCCCACCCACTGCACTAACCTGTGCAGTATTGGAGGACCAGGGGGCGTGTTATCCTGCCAGTGAGGTCATCACCAGTACCCTCCATTGCCCTTCAGTTTTCCCTTTCCATCATCTCCAGACAGTGCCCAAATCTGGCACAGTTCTGGGGTCCCTTGGATTTTTTTTAGGCTCTCAGATTTCTGGACCCTTCCACTGCTAGCTGTGGTGCTGTCAAACTTTCACCAAGAAGTTGCCGATTTTTCAGCCTTTGAGGAAAAACTGTCATTAAAAAACCTATTGCATTCCATCCATTCCATGCAATGCCGTATCTTCAACCTGAAGACAGAGACCATGTTTTCTATTATTTTACAGTCTATGTGGCCTCTACACTCCTCATGGCAAATGCGTGAACATTGTGAAACTTTTTGCTTAACTTCCACCAGTGCTTGATGATGACCCTGAATAGAATAGACACTAAACCGATATTTTAAATATGTATACGGATTAAATTGAGTTTCTATTTAACGTTTTCTTGAACTACTTGTATAAACCGGTCACATAACATAATGCCTTTCTCTTAAACAAGCTCACCAGTATGGGGCTTGTAGCTGCCATCCACACTTGGGGATATTTATTTTGGTTTCAGTATTTGTCACTGATTAGTGATTCAGCAGCTTCTGATGAAAAATTTTTAAGGACGCTAGTTTGTGTCCTCCCGTTACCCTAAGGCGAACTATGGGAAAAGACTTAACCCCATAGTTCTTTAACCTCTTGCCGTCCGCCCGTTAAGAAAAAACGGACGGACGGCAGACTCGCATCCGCGGGTTGCCGTCGCCAGGCGGCATTTTTTTCCTGCTCGCGCGCGCCCCCTAGCGCACGGGCAGGAAGGACCCACTCGTTACTACAGCCGTTAATGCCTGTTTCACATACAACCGATCAGCGGCTCTATAGCCGCCGCTCGGTTGTATGGCGTGAATTTCGGAGCGCCCCCCCGCCGCATCTCATCCTGGATGGGAAGGGGGTTTAACACCCCAGATGTCAACTGGTTAATGTTAGAGTTTCTCTTTACACTACCAGTCTGTCACATAAGCAAATGTGCTACTTCTGTGAAAGCCGGCACCAGCATATTCTTGTTTGAATCTTTGCTAGTGTAAATGCACAAACTGAGTGCACGTGCAGTACAGGCAGTATGCAACACATCTCTGGAATACATGCACATTTCCCCACATTTTATTCCTTTAAAGACATAAAAAATGCACTTATCTCATAAGCTTTGTCATGAGCTGACAACACACAGCATTTCTAAGTGGTATCATCCCTGCCCGGTGTTTTTTTGCGAACCTACTTAACCACTCCACTGTCAGAACTCTGCTACATAGACATTAACTACTATAGTCCAAGATAAGAACTAGAAGGGCTAATTACACTTCCTGAGATAACACAGGAAGTGTGCAGAGGACACAGAACAGCTCGAATTTTTTGCATTTATCGAACGGTTAAAATTTGGGGGGGTTTTTGAGTGCGGAGAAAAACAAATAGAGATCCTTGCTGTAGTGCACTGCAAACTCGTGGCAAACGCTTCAGGAGCATTGATAATGCATTTTTGGAGCATTTGGCAAGCTGTGCAAGTTGTAACGTCTGCCAATTGCTGCAAGTAAGATCAAATCTAATGCAAATGCCCTGTGTGTACCAGACCATTATCTTTTCATTTAAAGAACAGGCATTTGGGTTTGCAAAGTGGTTGTAAAGCTTTACTAACACCTATTTTTTTTTTCATACCTGTGGGAAAAAAACCTAATTGAAATCCTCCAGGGTCGATATACAGTATACGCTGAAAGGTCTACAAGGCTTTACCTAAACTAAAAAGATGAATGCTAAATTCAGTACAGAGGTATATCATACTGTACATACAGGTACCTGCTGGTGACTGCTGTCAATTAAAGCAGCTCTGCCACTCAAAGGGATAATAAAAACCTTCAAAAGAAGAATGTTTATACTTTGCTGTCCCACTGCTCATTCCTCAGTAGCAGAGCAAAGCCACCAGCATAGGTATGTCAGATGCCTGTAGTTCTCCTTGTCCGCCATTATATCATTACAGAACACAGGCACTCCAATCCATTGCAAACTACACCCATTTTGCTATACAGCTATTCCTCACTTAACGACCAAGTTCCGTTCCTCCGACGAGATCGTTAAACGAATTGGTCGTTAAGCATGGAACTCTATACAGTACTGTATTAGTACTGTAGTGTTGATGTACAGTGTACTGTAAACACAGTACTTACCGAGAATAGTAGCGGAGAAAGCAGTACAGTACTGTATGCAAGAGGAAGTCGTTGAGATGCCGCACTGCCGCTGCCACATTCCCACACCTGTCGGAGAGGTGGTCGTAAGTGCGAGCGGTCGCTAAACAAGAAGGTCGTTAAGTGAGGAATAGCTGTATACAGAAAAATAATTGTACAGTATTCATAACCTTATTTTGTATGTTTCCTTCTTTAGCTCTAGAGAAAAGCTTGCTGAAGTCCTTAAATAAACTGAATGACTTTTTGAATTCACCTTTGCCTGATGAGATCGATGCATACAGCATGGAGGAAGTCCTGGTGTCCAACAGGAAGTTTTTGGATGGGAATGAGCTGACGCTAGCAGACTGCAACCTTCTACCAAAACTGCACATTCTAAAGGTTTGTCTGATAGGAGACACACCCCTGTGAGGTTAGCAGTGTTTGGCAGCTCCGGCTCTAGAATGTCCCCAGTATTTGAGCCCTAACTCTTGGCATGCTCCAGAGCCTAACCAAACCTGAGGGTTTGCTCCAGAGCGTAACCCAATCTGAGGGATTGCTGCAGAGTCTAAGTGAACTGTCAGGGCAGCTCAGAAACCCCATCTCCAGCTTCAGATTGGCTTCTGCAGATGAGAGTTAGCTCTTGATTTAATCCAGCACATAACCTGACATACAGCTCAGGGAGGCCCCATAATCCCCAGCACCAGTTTCAGTGTGGCTCCAGCAGATGAGATGCAGCTATTAGTTTAATCCAGCACCTAACTGAACTTTCAGCTCCAGAAACTCCAGCTCCAGTTGTAGAGTTGCTCCAGCATTTGAGCTTCAGCTGTTGGCTTTCTGCAGATCCTAACCAAACTTGAGGGTTTTCTCCAGAGCCTAACTGTACCCTCAGCTCATGGCAACTCCAGAAATCCCAACTGCGGCTTCAGATTGGCTCCAGCAGATGACATCCAGCTCTTAGCTTAAAGTGACAATTAAATCTTAAAAATACATTTAGGTACCTTAACCAGGGCTCAAAATTTCATGTCCTGAGCTTCTAGCCAGGACTTCAAAGTTACTCACCAATAGTTGCCTTGCCCTGACAGAACACTGGGACAGGACACGGGGGTGGGGGTGTGTAACACCCTGGGCTTCAAGGGGTTAATAAGCGGGAAGGCACCCTTTATGGTTCTTTACAGTTCCTGGAGAAATGGCTGACATACTTAGGTTGAGCTCTAACAGCTTAATGACACTGAGAGAACCAGCCCTGCACACCTATAACTATAACGGATATTCCGAAACGAAACAGAACACATTTTTTGACGGCGCACAAGTCTAATAACGTCCCACCACAGCCACTCTGCGCTCTCCGCCTCCACTACTCACCTACTACATCGATCACGGACAGTACAGGACCAAACAGCCAATCACCGCCTGTCCTCTTATTAGACACCCCAGTCAGCATCTTCAGTGATTGGCGTGGGGAAAAAGGCGGATTCTGATTGGCTCTCAGTAGAACAATGGACCTTAGTAAAGATGGCTGCCGTCATCCGGCCATCTTTAACATGGGAAGGTGCGCTGCTTTGGGTGGCAGCATACGGGTAAGCCATCTGGGATCCCTCCAGGAGTTGGGTACTCGGTCCATCACCGAGTGCTTGACTCAATGGCTTCATCATTTCCACTCGCCCCCACACAATTTTCACTCGCAAATTGCGAGGGGGCGAGTGGTAATTTTGAGCCCTGCCTTAACTATTAACAAAGATTATCTTATTTGTGTGTCACTCGGCTGTAGATCCTCATATCATCTCTGAATTGGTGCTGACACTGTCCTTCCTTCTGGAGGGTGGCTACTATTGTTCCCCATGGTCCCCCTGTGTGTTGTAAAGTAGCCAATGCCAACGCATCAGAGTCCTAACACTATGAAAGATCTGTGGCGGATGGTGTTGGTGTATAAGTAAGGTTGACATCATCCTTCTGATCAGGCAACAGTGTTTAGCACTGCCATGCTTGCCATTGTCCACTGAGCACAGCATGATGGGAGGAGGTCACATGCTTTCTTTATAGCCGGAAGCACTGAAAATTTGCATCGGCTGCAATTCAGCAATGGTAAAGGAGCATTATGAAGGTGGATATATATTGGGGGCGTGTGCTAGAGCTGTAGCTGGCGGTATACTGAGCTTAGGATGACGGGAGGACGCCAGTTTGTGTCCTCCCATTACCCTAAGGAGAACTATGGGGAAAAGCCCTAACCCCATAGTTTTCCTTTAAAGTAACATTAGCAGTTCTAAAGTACAATATAATATAATTTTGCATTAAGCCCAATACGTGAATGAACTGACTTGTCATCTCAGCTTTGTGGCTGCTTGCTCCTAATTTTGTCTTTTCTTTAAAGGTGGTAGCCAAGAAATTCCGAAACTTTGACATTCCAGCAGAACTGACGGGGATCGGGAGATATTTAAAGAATGCGTATGCCAGAGATGAGTTCAGCAACACATGCCCGGCAGACTACGAGATTGAATATGCGTATTATGGTGTCGCCAAAAGAATGGGGTCATAGATCGTCTCAGTGGGGATCATTTTCATGAGGTGTTGGTTAAGAAGGGGTTGTTTACCTCAGGTATAAAACCAAGAAGATACGGGAGACGTTTATGGGTGGAGCGTGATTAGGGGACCTTGGAATACTAAACCTGTCTAAATACTATCCTCCTGAAGATATCACTGAGAAGATCAGCCAACACTCCTTTCCGCTTACAATTCCAACTGTCTGTGCTGCCATTTTCTGAAACAGGAATGGGGATGGGGAAGGTGGGAAGGTTAAGAGGAAGAGGATGATGCAGGAACTGGTCAGATCTTCACAATGGTGGCTTCAGAGCTAGGTATAACTATATACTCAAGGTCCCCTAACCACCCTCCATCTACAACTGAATTTGTATTCTGTGTGGATTTCCTTTTCAGTAACCATTTCTATGAGCGTCTTTGGTTGGCTTGTTGCAGCTTTTCACAACTTGCAAGGCTGACCATTTTATCTACTTAATCTATATAATACTGAACACCAACGTTAAAACAGTTAGAACTGCTGCATTTAATTTGTTGGTCCTGCTTTTAGGATCTTCCGCCACTCTTCTCCTCTGTTTCACGGAGGCAGCCATTTTGTCCTTTTTATCACTGATGAGGGCTGAGTCTGAGGCTAATACCTCTGCCCCCTCGCTTGCTGCAAAATGGCTACCTCTTTTCTTGTAAAGTTTGTCCAAGCCTTGCCAATAATGAATTACCTCATGACTACAAGGAGTGGTTAAAACCCAAATAAAGTCACAGAATAGACATAAAGTCAGGTAGAAATTGTTCCGTCGACCTTCATTTTCTCTTACAGCACAGTGTGTCTAAATGTGACTGCGCAGTCCTGTAGTCGAGTTTGACTACACAGCCCAGTGCACTCCATATTTTAACATACCTTGATAGACATGCCCCCTTTCTTTCCCTGCAGTGTTTGAGGAGGGGTGTGGCTGTTACTCAGCTCTGCCAGCACTGAGCACTGGAGAGAAGAACATGAAGCACTTTGAAGGTGTCGCCAAGTGAAAATGAGTTAAACTATAAAGCAGGAGTAGGCAACCTCGGCACTCCAGCTGTGGTGAAACTGCAAGTCCCGTGGGGCATTGCATGACTGACAGCCATGACTTCCAGAGACAGGCATGATGGGAATTGTGCCTACCCCTGATATAAAGGAATAAAAAAGTGTCAGACTTCAATTGGGTTTTAAGTCAGGCTAGAGCAAGGGAAAGATTGACCGTTGGCCACTGCAACCAGATTTGCTGTGTTTTAGTATTAAGTATCACGTTTTAGTATATTCTTCTTAAAAAAAAAAAAAAGAAATACAATTGCCCCAGTTTTTATAAACCTCCATCACTAAGTAATTTTCCGGCAACTGACATTTTGTTGGCATGTTTGTGCACTGGAGGAAAATCATTGTAAGATTTGTGAATTATATGTCTTCTCTATAGCAGTCTTGGGGTGGCCCTAAAATGTGAGGAGCAGGCCGTGTTCTCGACAAGATCTCTGCTCATAGACGGCCACGCTTAGACCCCTACAGAATCAGACAACCCGCACTGTGACTTGTTCTTCCAAGGCTAAGAGCCTATATTTTATTTTATACCATATTGATTGTATTGATAACCCAAGTGCCAATCAGCATAACTGAGCCATAAATAGATGAACCCAGAATGATGCATGGTCATGTATGACCTCTTTAGTAATGTGGTATTTTTTGTGACATTGTTGATATTTATTGCTCCCTAGGCCCAAATCTGTCCTGCAAACATGCACAGTGTATTTCTGTTACACTGACCTGCAATGTATGTGCAGCAGGTGGGTTTTTAAAAACACACGTTACCCCAACACATGAGTTTTAATCAGCCCTCCATGTCAATAAAACTCTGTCAGTTAGACACATGTAGCAGAATTTTAAAAAATAGGTCCTTTGTTTGGCTACATCTCCTGTCATGGCCCCAAGAAGCAATGCTGTCCATGTATGATGCAATAGGAGATCCCCCCTCTATAAGGGCGTGTGTGTTCCAGAGCGGTAGCTGCTGGAACGCACAACGTTCGCTCAGAAACTTCCCCCGCGTTCTGGGGCGGGGGGAGGCGTGGCGGTGCATTGAATTCAATGACACCGCCACGCCTCCCTGCCTGCAGTGCGATCGGATGCGCGGCAAAACTTTGCCTGCAAACGCAAAAAATAGGACATGTCCTTCACATTAATTCTTTGGAAATGTTCTACCTGCAGGTAATATAGGGGTTCCAGGAGACGGAAATGATCTGGTAATTCTTACCATTCATGTATCTGGAGCAAGCCTAATAGACAAGAAAAGAGCCAACTTCCTCTACTTACAAAAGGGGTCTGTCAGTGGTTTTCATCACTCAGCTCATTATCTTATACAGAGCGTGCATGAAGTCTGAACCCTTATCTGAAATCAGATGTGCTGAGATTGATTCATTGTGAAGCCATTGTGTCCATTTCACAGCAACTGTAGAAAGCTGGCCAGGAACGGCTTACATTTTGAACGATTCCTTGTTGAATGGGCCAAAATTCGAGCTGTGGGTGGCCCTTGAAGGCACGACCCAGCTTGACAAAGTTCAAGCTGGGTAGGAAACTGTCTGCTGCTGAGCTGCGATTGGCAGCCGCGCATGCATACAGTAGCCCCAGCAGGAAGAATAAAAGTGAATGGCCAACTTTCCCTTCACTTCCTGTTCTGTAGACACATTTAAAAGTAAGAGGAAATCTCTCTTAGACATTTCTCACCAACCCAAGTGTGGTGTCCCACTTTTTTCCTTTTCCAGTGACAGCTAAAAAGTAGGGAGTACGAGTACTGATATTTTTTTTTTTTTTTTGGTACTCCCTGATACCGAGTGCCGGAGGTCCCATTCAAGAAGCTAGGCAGCGTGTAAAGACACGCCACCCGGCTTCCCAATTAGCAGGGAAGCTGTTCCATGCTTCTCGTCACTAGGTAACAAGAAGCATGGAGCTGGCTTTTCTGGCCAATAATGACGCGGCGCCCGGCTTCCTGAATGACTGGGAAACCATCTCCATCATCATGAGGTGACGAGGGAGCATGAAGCCGTCTTCCCAGCCAATCAGAAAGCCGGGTGCCGCGTCATTAAACGGAGCTCTGTTTCCTGATTGGCCAGCTTCCTGGCCAAGTGACGAGGGAGCATGGAGCCGGCTTCCCGGGCAATCAGGAAGCCGGGCAGCGTGTAATGACATGCTGCCCGTCTTCCGGAAGTATCGGGCCAGGCATCGGAGCATTTGGGTGAGTACGAGTACTCGTAAAAGTACTCGGCATCGGCACTGGTACTAATATAGGTGCATCCCTACTAAAAAGTTTGGATTTTCCCATCACTTCCTGGTGACAATCAGAGCTTCCCTGTGGAGACACAGTCAGCAATAAAAATCTGGGGTTTTAACACTTCCTTACTCGATCCAAAGCTACAAAAGAGGTTTTGGCTTTAGATACGCTGTAAAGTGTATGGGCAAAATCCGAATCACAAAGTGCCCATAGCATTGACACTGCAGTTTCTGTTTCTTCAGGGTCCCCCCTCCACATAGGTTTATTACCGGTGGATCCTGCGGGTACATCTATTGTTTTTTCACTTCCTGTAATAGGATGACAACGCAACTCAATCTGTAGTACAATAGCACAGCAGCATTGTCACCCTATGGACCAATGGTGACTTCTTTTTTTACCTGCAAAGCATTATGGTCACTGCCTAATTTGCATATTTTGGACATGTGATTTTTGAATGCACTGTTATACTCTGATTTGCATAAGCTTATCATCATTAATATGCATGTTCTGCAGACATGTAACCCAAGCGGTTAATTCCAAGTTATGATTTGCATATTCGTAGGGTGACTTACCCACCTAAGACCCCTGTTTCTCCTGTGATGTCCCATAAGATTGTTGGGGGGAGAAAAACGGGTGGTCATCCATGGACGCATGGTTATGATTTGAAAAACCAGATGAAAGCCAAACTCCATCTAAAGGTGCCCATACACTGCTCGATTCTCGTACGAGAATCGCAGGAAATCACGCGATCGTACAAGAACCGAACAGTGTGAGCAAAGAAGTGCAACGTTTCTACTGTACGGTCGCACGTCTTTTGTCTAAGGAGCATGTTAGAAAACCAGCCGAGAATCGTACGATTTTCGGCTGGTTTGAACAGTGCTCGGGAGACAAATGCCGAACGAGCCGGTGTGCGCACGTGCACGCTGCCCGTTCAGCATTGCGGTCATCGGGAGCCCGCCCCTCGGGGGGCCGGCTTGCGATGATCGAGAGTGCGATCTGCCTGTCCAAGATGGGCTGATCGTAAGTTTTTTTTAATCACTTTACAACCATCGCAAGACTAAGGTCTTGCGATGGTTGTACAGTGTATGGCCACCTTAACAGTTTTTAATCGGCTACACCAACATGGTTTTCTTTTGGATAAAAGATTTAGGCCATATAAATAAAAGCTGACTGTCGTAAGCGTCCACGGTCAATGTTATATGGTTTGTCCCAACTTTTGTTGGACAGCTTGGCCCGTAACAGGAAGTGGGAAAAATAACAAATCTATTCGCTCTGTTCATGCTAGTGACAGATTGCATCATACATGTTTCCAAGAACCACCCGCACTCCTTACGGTCTTCAACCTTCCAATGGTGGTGGTGGTGCTCTAGTGATCACACGGAGGGCGCCGCACAAAGCTCAGAATAGTCTCAACAGGTCACCAGCACACACGCAGATTAATTCAATATCTCTTAGATATGTTTAATGAAAAATGTCACGGCATGTCACTAGAAGGTGGAGTTGGCGTTTCGGGACCTCGCAGGGACCCTTCATCAGAGCGACATAGCAATGGGGTAGTTCATGTTTCCTAACTGATTTCTGTATTTTGGTCTTATTCAGTAGGACACAGCAAATTGTAACGGCGAGTTCATAAGTGCCGGCACCCATAACAACCAATCAGATTTCAGGTTACTTAAGGGAGATCATATATGTCATTTTTTTATTTCATCCCAAGTCTGTCTGCCATCCCATTATCTCTAATGTAAACTACATACATACATTGATGTTATACTGTCGTATTCAGGGATCTCTCTCCTGTAGGCAGGCTTTGTAGAGGTTATGCTGGTCAAACCTGTTTTAGTTCATGTACCCGTCATAGAAGAAATATGAGGACTGCCAATGCTGACTTCCTTCTGAAAATGCTGGCTACCTGGCAGTAATGCTGACTTCATGGCTTCAGTACTTCCAGTTCACTAA